CACACGAACACACATACACACAGACAGCCTCTCGACAATATGCATTTTTGTTGGCTGTAGCAGCTGCAGAGCAAAAACGCAAAAAAACGGCATCCGCACATGGACACACACTAATACAAACAAAATTTGCCTAAAATCTCTAGTTTTTAACGTTTTTGTTTGTACCAAGATGCAGAAACGCATCTGTCGTACGATGCGTTTCTGTATCTTGGTACAGATTTTAGGCATATTTAATTTTTATCAATGTTTCAGTAAAGCAGTTGTCATGAAAAGTGCCGAAGGTTCGATATCGCAACTAGACACCCAATCGCTTTAGGATTTGTTCATTTGTTTCGTTGTCAGGTTGGTACTGGATATGTCATCCGCCATCAACTTGCTTCTAGGCAATTCTCGGAAGAGACATCGACGGTCTTGATAGCGGATATTTGCTGCTGGCAGTTGTTACCCTAGAAATACTTCCGAATGCCTCCCTCCGCCTCTCTCAGAGTGACAAACAAAAGGAGTTTTCGCTTTTGTTTTGTCCCAACGCCTGACAAAATTTCAGAAGTTGAACCCCAGAATTAAGCGCTGTTTAAGTCACAAAAAAATCAGGCGTCAAATGACTAAGCGTGTAAATTTGAAAAGTAAGAAGTAAAAGCAGCGAACTTTGGGATTTCATGATAGCGTCAATGACCACTCGTACGCCGGCCCATGTCTCACGGCCAGTTGGTATCAGTTGTCGACGATCCAGCAAAAAGCCGTCCCATTCTAAATGGTTAATATCAACCATTATTCTGGCATACATTATTTTGAGAAGAAAAACAACTAAAAAAAGTCGTACACGGTGAAAAAGCGAAAAAAGAACAGCTTGAAGACTGCAAACAAACCTTCTTCGCCGGGCCTTAATTCAAGCAGGTATACAAATTTAACACCAGCCTTCGCCTTCGCCCAGTCATCCGAACCACCGGCTGATGGATCTGACAGATTTTTCGTCATTTTCCAAATTAGTTTGCTGATAAAGCTCCAACCCGTTAGTGCTGGTGGAAGTTTTTTTATGGGAGAAGTGACATCCCGTATGTTAATTTTTCAGTTTTGATTTGGTGCTCAAATGATAAAGATTTTTCAAAATATTTACGCAACGAGCAACATAAGAATTTCTGTTGAAGCATTCTGTAAAAAGAGACACTTGCTCGCTTTCTGCGCTAACAGCTATGTGAAATAAAAGTATGCAAATTTTAGAAACGGAAAAAAGCAAAGGCCCCTAAAGGACACACAGAGTATGTCGGCTCCAGTTCCAAGTCGAAATTTCGTTCCATAAACATTTTCAAGCGCTTTTACTGCTTTTTTTGCTACTTCTTCCTGAAAAAAAGTGTTCACTTTTTCAATGCTTGAGAGAGTTTTATTAAGAATGCCAAGATTGTCCGGATAGTCGCTATGGAGATTCTGCGTTTACGATTCTACTGG